GAGAGCTCTGAACTAACTTAGCAGTCACTAGATACCTAGTACATACAGCTCCCGGCGAGGCCACAGGATGCCTGCATGCTGTCCTCTCCTATCAGTGACGGAGCAGAGACCATGTGCAAAGGAAAGGCTGCCAAGCTCATTTTCAGGTACACGGATTCTGTTCCTGCTTAGAACCTGAATAAGGAAAGCACACATTTGAAACAAAACAAAAACAAACAAAACCCAACTAAATATAACCCAGAATTCATCCTTGAAGAATTCAATGTTTCACATATTCAAATCCATGGAGGGTAAACCACAGCAAGTAACCCATCCTCCAGAAGAGTCCACTACAGAACACAGAGAACCAGTCAAAAAAAAAAAAAAGAGGTTTATATATGTTTCAGAATTAAGAGACTCTGGGGGATCCAGAGGCTGAGCTGGAGAAGAATGTGGGGGCATTGTTGGTCCTCACTGGTGGCTTCATGTGGTAGAGAGAGATTAAGACACAGAGCCCAGACACAATTTCTGGTTAATTTCCCTTCTCTCTCTCCTTTCCATTTTCCCTTCTATCTGTGGACAGAGATGTTACACAGACTTTGAGGGCAGTTTGAGGCCAGTCTAGAGCCTGATTCTCAGTGGGGAGGCTGCAACTGTATTGTGCCTGGTACCCGCACTAAGAACCACTTTACGGAAAGACTAAGGAAAAATGATAAACTTCTTTCAGCCAATGAAATACTATTGAACTATAGTGATGTTAGCAGTAAACTTACCTGCTAATGCTAATTCTTTGATGTTTCATCTGTGTATAAAAAATATAAATACAATCAAATTGCAGTGTTCACATTGTATTTTATGTGAACCGATGGGACTGGAGGAGAGGAAGAGCAAGTCAGCACACTACAAAGGAATTTGATCTCCAAGGACACACTTAATGCTCAGGTGGGCAGTGCTTGGAGACCAGGAAGGAACCTTCAGTACATAGCCAAGACTAAGTCACAACACTGCTCCAGCCCTCAGGGATGGGTGTTTGGCCTGCAGGACACTCTCCACATGCTTTCCAGGACCACCTCAAGAACCTTATGCTGCCTTCCAAATTCCAGGTCTCTCTGCCATGGTCCATCCTCACCTTCATCTCCATGACATCCATCATTTCTGTACTTGCCTAGTATGCATGGAGCAATCCAGAGAGGATACGAGACTCTCAAGTGACTGTCTATAGGGGCATTTTGTGAGAGGATGATATTGTTTCTCGGTCTGACCACATAATAACCGTTAGCCTCATATAGCCCTGGATCTCGAAATGTGGCTAGTAAAGCCCAGAAACTGGACCTCCAGTTATCTTTAACTCAATGCCTGCAGATGTTAGGAGGCTACCATATGTTAGACGCTGCAATGCAGAAACTTAAGAGTCAACAGAATACAGATCCTTCTGTCACATCACTCTGGGGAGAAATAAAGGCATCACGCGACCTGTAACCCCACTGGGGCATGATACACTCTCATCCTTCACCAGCAAGGGCATTGTGGAGGGTCCCATGTGTGTTCACTGGATACCGACCACCAGACAGGTTCTGTTGGCCACTCAGGAGGCACACACCTGGTGAGGCCACACCATGCGATTCAAAGGATTAGAGAATGAATCCATGAGTTTTATTCTATGTAGCAATTGTTCTTGGCATGCTCTCTGCATATGGAACATGGGGAGAGACGCCAATGATATTAATTGTAGCCCTCACCTGGATGGCTTCATGGATGCTTCAAGCACTCTGCCACCAATTCCACTTGGTTTTCTCAATCTGATGACATCCGAGAAGGGTGATTTTTTCTTGTCATTCAGAAAGAACACGTATGTGTTGATGGGCAGGATACCAGCTGTGCAGCTCACAGTGCTCCAAGCATAGGGGAGGGTGAAACCTCTCCCCTTCTCTTCCCATGCTGCCACCCGGCAGCAGGTGCAACGTCCATAAAACATGATTCCCAAACACAGCCCCAAAGCTTTTCCAGGTCTCTGATGGCCCAAGCAGGCTCCTGAGTCAGCTTCCAGCACAGGGTGCAATGTGTCTGGACTCAGAACTTGTCACACTTAAAGTGGACACCAGGAGTTGGCAGTCAGGGAGAGATGCCAGGAGTTTGCATACAGCCGTGGCGAAACTATTTTCACTGTGTCTTAAGGACCTAGAGGAACACCAGAGCACCAGACAAAACAAACTGCCAGGAAGTCCTACTGCTATCACACTGAACCCACATTTTCTGAAAAGCAGTTCAAAATGTAAGTAGGCCAAAAGACGACGCCTACGCTTAAATAGTGTGTTTCAGCAAGGAGAATGGTCATCAGGGAGTCAAACTGACCTCAGAAGTTAGGGCTGTTAATGTCTAGTAGCCATTCATCCTGCAGATGGGCAAACATAGGTGCTGCAATAGAGCCCAGGTGTGTCCAGTGCAATGTTGACGAGGCCCAAGTGCCTTAGCACTCAGACCCATGCATGAGGGTCCTATGACTGGCTTGGAGTTAATCCTCAATTTTTGTCTTCTCAAATGAAAGAATTTCGTCAAGAGATACATACAGTTTAAGCAGTTTATTTAGCAAAAGGGAGCAGGGCAGGGGTAGCACCCTCCAGACAGTTTAGAGATGGCCAATGAGAGAGCCTGGATTCGCTATTTTTGCAAAAGACTTTTAGGACTGTTTATGATAATAACATTTATGGAGGTAAGGTGTCCCTTTTTCCTCCCAAGGGATAGTGAACCAGAAGGATCTCCCTTTTAGGCTGTTTCTTCCCATAGTTCTCTTGAAAAGCCCACAAGTATGGTAAAAGCAACAATGTAAATGGTATAATAAACCCCGAATCTTTTGAGGCTGCAGGCCCTTCTTTGGTGTACATACATGGCACCTGGAAATATCCTTGATACCTTAGTTTCTGATATATAGGGCATAAACAGAAGGTAACTTCAAAGATACTAAACCTCTGACCATCAGGAGACACAGCTGTCAAGATTAGACCACACATCAATGAGAGCAGAGGCCATGGTACATCATTCTGCAGCAAATACTATCACAGACTGAGGACCTAATCATGACCAGGCACTGAAATTCCCTCCTCGTGTTTATTTGTACATTTCAGGATCAAAGTATCAGTGTGAGAGGGACACATATATTAGTGTCAGCTAGTGCCTGTGAGGTACAAAGTTGAATAACTGTCCAAAACCACTCAACTGATAATCCCTGCCCACAGGCAAGCTCCATTCACCATGTTCGAGCACCACATACCCTGCCATACAGGCCGACTCCAGTACCAACCCTCACCTCTTTTAATGAGAGGTTAGTGCTTCTTAGCACCATGGGGCCTCAGAGTGCAGGGAGGCTCCCTCAGACTACAGTGTGTAGAGCCTCTGTAGTCAGCCATGCAGCCATCCTCCTCAGTGCCTGGCCCATTCTGCTGCCTGAAAGCTACACAGGCGTCCCTTTACCGGCCACCTCCAGTCTCACGTTAGTTCCTCAGCCCAGCAGCTCACCACGAACTTTCTGACACACCAAGCTGATGGCATCAGTAACTGCCTGTGAGAGCTCAGAGCGAGCCCCACAGTCTGCCCACTAAGTGGATCTGCCCCCACCTGGCACACCACACAGTCCCCATTATTTTCCTCTCTTGTCCTATTTATCTCAGATCCCTGGGGTCTGCATTTCAATTTCCTAAGTATACTGTGTTTTCTCTTGCATTTATATTGTTTACAGATTATTTTGATATGTACTCAAGTGTCTTTTTTCTCTGCCAGATGGCATGTTTCTACCCTTCAAAGTTCTTCCCAGCATGACTTCTTTCTGGTGGTCTTCCTGGCATTTGATTGCCTGCCCCTTGGATATGGTGCCCTCCAAATATTGTATGAGAAGATTTGCCACCTTTAGTTCATTCATTTGGTCTGAATTGGCTCCGTGCCATGATGTCCAAGTGTTTGGGGTATGTGGTATAAAACAGTGAGGGATTAGAAATGAAAGCACTGACATTTCAAAGTCACTACTGGCCCTCACAGACCTGGAGTAAAAGCTCTGTCCCTTTGGATCAACATCTCCTACATAGCACAGAACTTCCAGAGGATGGCACTGGATGGATCTGTGATCATGAATGAATGGATCACATTCATTATTCCCATAGCATTTTGTCACTCCCTCCGCTCCTTATTTCTTGTAGCACATACAGGCTTTCCAAGAACAAAGAGAGAGAGAGAGAGAGAGAGAGAGAGAGAGAGAGAGAGAGAGAGAGAGAGAGAGAGAACTACTAAACATGCAACATAGTTGAAGAATCATCCTTTCTCAGGGAAAAAAATATATAAGCTCAGTTTGGAGGAAGACTCTGGCCCAAATTCATCTTGATTTAATGGCAACTGCCAGTAAGCCCAAAGTCATTCTCTGGGAGTTGGGGGTAGAAGTGACATTATCCAAGACTGACAGTGACTAGTAGCCTTTAGATGGGACAGTATCTGACATCAACATCTGTGGTTTGTCTGCTTCTGGTAGGTTTTTACATCTGAAGATATCATTGTGGCTTCAGAACACACAGATCCAAGTATATCCAAGTGCTTTTAGAAGACATGCATTTTATATTTTCCATAAATAAATGTTAATATGGTGTGTGTAATATATATGTAAACATCATGTGTGATACAAATATAGTAAACTGTTTTTGTGATTTGCATCTGAACTTTCAACTGCTTGAGAAGCATCTAGAAGAAGGGTTTCATAGCCATCCTCCTAATCTAGGGTCTCCATGCCATTTGGAATCATAGTAATGGTGAGCTAGATGACTCCAATTAGATGCTAATGGCAATTGGACACATGTGATCTGTACTGCGAAGTCAGGTCATTAGCAGAACTATGTGTGAGAGAACAGTGATACCCTGCCCCTTTGCATTTGCATGGTGGCGTTTTTGCTCAACCCCAAATATCTGCCAGGCATCTTATTGCTCTGATTTTCAGGAAGTAACAAAAATCTCTCTGTGTCCTCTTTCTCTATTTTTTTTATCAGTGTATATGGTTGTCCCTTGGCTAAAAAAAGGAAAACACAAGATAAACAGCCCCAAGAACCTGCTCCCAAGCGAAAACCGTTTGCAGTGAAGGCAGACAGCTCCTCAGTAGACGACTGCTATGAGAGTGATGGTACTGAGGACATGGATGAAAAGGAGGAAGATGAGGAAGAGGAGTTCTCTGAGGACAATGATGAGCAGGGGGATGAGGATGATGACGATGAGGAGGTGGATCGGGAAGATGAGGAAGAGATCGAGGAGGAAGATGATGACGACGACGATGATGAAGATGGGGATGATGTAGAAGAAGATGAGGAGGAGGAGGAAGAAGAAGAGGAAGAAGAGGAAGAGGAAGAAGAAAATGGTAATCTTTAAATACTAACAAAGCTTAGGCCGTGATTTGGGGTCAGTTTTTGCGTGAATTTTCTAGTGTTAATATTGTTGGCTTCCTAACGATTCCAGGACAAAGAATTCTCAACACCAAATGGATAACCCCCCTACGTGAACTGAAAGTTTCTCCCAAACAGTTCCTTGAAGTTATCTTCTAGGCTTTAGATTTCTGACAAATTGTTATTTAGATTAAGCCTTCTGTCATACTGTATGAAAGAACCTAAGAAAAATTGGGTAGCAAATTAACATAATAACTTTAAGCCTCTGTAGCAATGTTGGACTATCCAATAAGGTTCATGATTTCTAACACAAAGACCATGGCTTTGGAATTAGGTATGTTCATTTATGGCAGTGCATAGGTTGTCATAGCAGTTTGCTGAGCTATTTGTGGCAAAATGTAGGAAGAAATCTAGTCTCTCACGTCTGGTGTCTAAGTGGTTCTATCCAAGAAGTACTGTGATTGACTCAAGTGTGGCTACAGCCTTCGCCTCTGTGCCTGGAGTGCCTAGAGAGGTAGATTCTATCTGTTGGTTGTTGAAGCCATACTTTGGTGACTGTCATGTGGTTAGAATGAAAAGAGATGCTACTTAAAGGAAATGGTTGATGGATTGGTTGTGTGCTTCATATTTGAGAACCAAGTTTCTAGTCTGAGGCAGAAGACAGTGAGTTGTTCAAGCAAGGCGCAAGCTTACCGGGCAGTGTATGGGTCGCTTCCATAAACTGCTCCAGAGGATTCATTTTTGTGTCCAGTTTTTTGCTAGCACGAGATTCAAAATTAGGATTTATGAAACCTATCCTAAAAAGGAAATCTAGAAAAAAGACATGGTTTTCTCATGATCCTAGATATAGCTAATTTTGTTGGCTTGGGGTTGACCTTATAGATATAACAAAAATGATGGTAACATAATGAGAATGTTTTTTCTCACCGTTGTCCCTTGGGCTCAAAAAATCTTCAAGAATATGAATTCTGAAACTGCTAACTTCCAGATACAATGTCATTATCTCATCTATTAGAGAGAACATATCAACATGTTTAGATCATGCAAGTGAGTCTGGCATCACTACTCCTATGCACCGCCATAAATGAACATACCTAATTCCAAAGCCATGGCCTTTGTGTTAGAAATCATGAACCTTATTGGATAGTCCAACATTGCTACAGAGGCTTAAAGTTATTATGTTAATTTGCTACCCAATTTTTCTTAGGTTCTTTCATACAGTATGACAGAAGGCTTAACAAGTTACATCATAGCTCATGGCAATAACTACAGCGCATGCTGCCCAGTGTGCTGTGGACAAATGTACTGATGTCACTAACGAGCTGCTAAGAATTAACTCATAGCCCTATATAATGATATGTGTGGAAAGATGTAGAGGAGACCAGTAAGAAAATATTCAGGGACACAGTATCAGCTGTGTGCAATTCTAAATGATATCTTTGGTTGTCAGTGCTGATGAGTGATTTGTATCTTGGCTCTATGGCATCATTGAAATCACATAAAATATTCTCTTGCATTTTCTCTTCATGTTTGGGAAGCAGAAGACTTTAATGCTCAGGGTTATGAACATTTGGTATGCACAAAGAGTCTTTTCCAAATTTAGAATCTGCTCCATTTTCTAACTTACGTGCTTCAGCTTAGTTTGCATGGAGTCAGAATTTAGGTAATCTACCTTTTCAGTATACAAAGTGGCATGCTTGGAAGTGCTCAGAAGTCTTACTGCAATGCATGACAATGTGGCCACACAGGCTTGAGCGCTTCTGACTTTAGCACCGAGATCCTGGGTGCATAATGAACTCAGCAGCCAATCAGAACCAGGCAATTTTAGCTGGAGTGATTCAAGTAACTACACATAACCAGCAGACATGGGACAGAATCGTCAAACAGGCAACTTCAGAGTAACTATTTAGGTCCCAGGTTTTTAAGTATCGAGCACACCTGGCCTGGTGTCTACTCAGGCTTCCTGCACATGCGGAGTATAACCAGCGTGTGGAGGCAGAAGCCTGTGTAAAGGGAGCAGGACAATCCCAGACACATAGTCAGCCACTGAGGAACTGTTTTCAGAACGCACAGCATCTGCTCCCCAGATCAGAACCTTCTTCAGTCACCTGTCAGGTGACTTGAAAGACCCATTGCATTACTGAGGAGGAGCTCAGTACATGATCTGCTGTGAAACTAGTCTGTGTGACTTCAGTGAGGCCCATATGCCCTTGCCAACATCCTCAGTAGAAAGAAAGGCCCTGTGTCTCCTGTCAGGCACCCTCTCACATGCTTCCCAGATCCAGGCACTGCTCTCGTGGAGGATCATCCCCTGTGGTTCTGATTGTTGTGGGTGCTCTGGAGGGGAAGTCAAAGGCTTGTTTGATTTCCCAAATCTATGACCATCAGTGGACCGCACTATAGCCCAGCTGTGTGAGCGAAGTCTTGGAGAACCCCTCCAATGCTTCTGTAGTGGAGAGAAGTCTCCAGTGCAGAGCCTGTGAGCTGGTGTCCCAAGACACCGTTTAACTAGCATCAGACCGTGATGTCCCAGTGCTTTGCATCCCAGGTATTTCAAAACCTGCCAGCGTCGGGAATCTTCATCAAAGGAAAACCAGAGCTTTGTTGATAGGCCAGCTGTTCAACATGATCAGACTCTTATTTATGTTCACACTGTTAAAATGAGGCTTTGGGAGGCAAAAATCCACCAGTCTCCTATCTTCATATCCTCACCGTGCACACCCTATTTTTACCATACTGTGGAAGTCTGTGCCAAAATCTCTATTGGTAAATGCAAGCTTGAGACAGGATAGCCCTACCACATGTCTGGGAAGTACAGTGAATGTAAGCTTGCCACAGGATAGCCCCACCACACGTCTGGGAAGCACAGTGAATGCAAGATTCATGCAGTATGCAAAAGCCACTTTTTTAAGTGCTGGTCGCAGTCTCTTTTGTGTTGGCTTTTGTCTCTATGTCCCTTGGTTGACATGACAGCCCATCACAGCAGACTGTAGCAGACTCCTCTGAGGTTGGCTGGGCCTCATTCCTGCCATCTAGGTACAGACTGTGACCTCAAGTGAGAAGCATAGGGAACAGAGAACCTCACGAGGCAATGGTAAGTAGCCCATACTTAGGTCATGATTTGGACACAGCTTTGACAAATGCCAGAGCAGAGCAGGTAACATACAATGTGAGGAAATCAGGACAGTGATATGGGCACAGGGAGAAAATCTGACCTGGCATCAGCCTGAGGACCAGGCAGGAAGCCTCAGGTTATCTGTGCTGATAACTAGCCACACAGGAGTCATTGTCTCTTGGATAAAATTTGAAATGTTTATTTTGTTTCAGATAAAATACATTTACACAAATCATCAGATTATTATGAAAGGAGTCCACTGAATGTCAACGACACATTATTTAGAACATAGGAATTAGTATTTTATTTCAAAGATCTTTGAGCATTGTAGTTAGACATAAACCAAATTGGTCTGACACTAAACATCCTGTGAGTGTGGTATTTATAAAAAGAAGAAGTGTATGTTTTATAAAGTAGACAAACCACAGGCTAGTCTCTTGTATAGTCTTATTTTCAAAAGGCACAGCAACTATCCAATTCCATGTTTATTAAATACCAATTATTTATCCTAAATGGGAGCTACCATTCTGTGGCATAGACTCATCATTAACAGATTTGGCACATACTATGGTCAAAGGTCTTTCAGGGTCACTGTGATGAGAAAAACAAATCACCGCATAGACAATACACATAAGGTATAGTTTATTTCCACACTCCATCTACCAAAAAAACACCATTTAAAAATCATAGGCAGATATGTATGTATTTCATATATACATTTACGCTTGTCCTTTTGGACCCATGTTTCATCTCCCCATAGACAGGAAGGTGAATTCTCTGAGGAAGAACTAGGCTGTGTGTGGTCCAGACTGAATAAGGTCAGACTACTACCCTCTTTACTTTAATGCTGGGGTTCTCAAGAGACACCTGCCTCTGGCACCTCAGAACTGCCCTGAACCCTGAAATCTGCAGTGCTGTCCCCACAATCAGTGTGTCCATCAGTGCAGGTGCCTCTTCAGTTCGGGTTACCCAGCCTTTGAATCCCACGTCAGGGTGTGGTATCCTTGTAAGCTCTTCCTGAGGAATGGATTGCTGTGAATCCTGATGTTGAGTACCTTCTCTAAAAGGTTAGACAGTTGTTCAAAGCCAGGCAGAATGAAAACACGTGGCTGGAGGCAAAGTGGGAGGGGCTGCTTTTGTTAGAGCAATTCAGCCTCCTCTGCTGTCCCTGAAGTAGTGGGGGTTTGGCAGTCCGCACCCGTGGCAGATTCTGATTTGGGACCCCATTCTCACGGTCCTTACTATGAAACAATAGCCCTGTCTATGCGACTGTCTTTACTGGGGTGATCCACTCTTGAGTAAGTCCATTTCAATGACCATACTGTATGTATTCTTTCTCACACAAGCATCTTTCTAATTGTGAGATTTCCTGGGGTGTGTTTTCTTCCAGAGTGTGTAAGGCCCCCACTTGCACTCACGTTCTGATCATGGGCGAGGCAGTGGCTGGTGTGGTCAGGAGGGAAGAGGATAAAGGTGCTGAGCGGTCTGCACTGAGACCCCACAACTCCCCGGTTTCCCCTCAGGGTACTGCTCTCCATATTGATTAGCCAATTATCCTTCTGTATCTTTCCCAGGGACAGGTCCCTGATGAGGGAAGCAAGCTGAAATGCAGACAGACTGTGAAAATCAGAATTAACCAGTCAGTGTTCTACTGCAGTCAGCAGAAAAAGCAATGAGTTCTGAGACCAGCACAGCACAGAGAGGATGTGTTTAGTATGCAAGGCTTCACCTGAGGAAGGCTGTGGTCACAGTTGGGAAAATGAATATGGTGGATTTATCTTCTTAAAATTAACCTTCTCAATATACACAAACGTCTTCTGTGGGGACACTGAGAGTGCACGCTCACTGAGGTAGATGACG